TTAGCTATTGGACCCTGGAAACATCGTAATTCAGATAAGTCGTTTTCCTGTTCCTCTTGTCGTTTACCATTGAATGGTTTCAGCCCAAGATCGAGAGATCAAAATCTAAAATCACCTTACCATACCTAAGCGTTGTCAATTGTATGCTGCAAAGAAATTGCAAAAATATAAACTGGAAGATTGTTGAATAAAAGAATAACAACTTGATTTCTTGATATTGCTTTTTTTTTTTTCTCAAGGTTGAACACGGTCAGATGTATTGAAAGAAAGGGCGGACGTTTTGGATTGTAGTATCTTACCCTCGCCCTGTGGAAGCGGATGACATTGGAAACATCTTTAGTAAGATAAGTTCGTCATAATTCTTTTTTTCTTCTTATTTCTTTTTCACAGTGTCAGTCAAGAGTGATACTATGTCGAGTATATTCATGATGAAAAAAGGGAAATGAATCGTCCCAGTCAGGAAGGATGAACTTAGTATTTTTTGTGCGGTCCCGTGCAGACAATAGCAAAAGCATTAAGATTAATTAAGGTCACTGCAAACTATTTAATGTGTTAACGTTCTCTTTTCTTTTTCATGTTTTAAAAACGTTCTGTAGAGACAAAGTGCAGCCATTTTGGATAACGGTGGGTTGTTCTTGTACTCTTGTTTAAGTTAAGTATTGCAAACGTTTTAATTTAGATACACAGGCCCAGATAAATTAATTCTTTTGACGGTTTCAGTCCAAGAGTTATTAAAATCTGAACTACCATCCATATCGATGCATTTTCAAATGTCTTACGAAACGAAAACTGAAAATCCTAGGTACTTTACGTTTATTTAAGGTCTCAGTGCAAGCCAAGTGTGTTGATTTCTTAGTAAAGCATGATAGGAAGTGACACTACAGAATTGTCTTCTACTGAATTGACGTACACGACTGGCGAAATTTGTTGACGAAAGAGAATAATTTCCTATTTTATTGATGCTTGCTCTTTATTCGCAGGGTAAACACTAAGGTTTAGGAAAGAAAGCCTGTGCAGCCATTTTAATTTGACTCCAGTGTAGCTTTCGGATTCTGGTGGAACTAAATTGAAAACATGTATTTGAGGTAAGTTAATCGTTTCCTTATCTTACCTGAATATGTCGCTGACTATTTGACGATTTCAATCCAAGAGCTCTCGAATATCCTGGTAAAAAATTTGTCAACAATGAGGAATTGTGAGAGATTGAATTTCCTGCTCGACAGGAGGTTGGATTGGGAAGGGGAAAAAAACAAATCTGTGTTCCTGTAGAGAGCCGATCGAAAACATGACCTCCAGGATACCGGTCAGGCAAAGAGGACTTGTTCTAATGTACCAGTATGTAACACAACTGTACAGCAGAGCTTTCTAAAATGAGTATTGCTTCAGAAAATCAATGCAAATCTCCTCATTATTTAGGGGTGAGTTTGATAGTCGATTAACAGTACTTGAATTCGTTAAGTTTTGCTCCCTTCCCAGTCAGGTTCAATGGAGACATCCTTTGAGATAAAAGTGTAGCCATGTTGGATCGCAGTGTGTTAGCCTTAAATCCTGGCGCAAGTTGGCAGTCACTGGAAACACCTCATTTCAGGTAAGTTTCTCTCTCAGTCGATCATTTACCGTTGATGAACAGTTTCAGTCCAAAGAGTGATTCAAATCTTATATCTTCTCTCCACATCAATGCCTTGTTAACTTAGAGAGGAAATATGTTGTCGATAAATTGATTTGCGAGGTCAACGCTACTCTCCATCAAACTGTTTTACCTTAGTTTACTAAAAATTTAAGCCCCATTCAACGACATATTAAAGACATTAACAGAATGAAAAACACGGCGGTGTTAATCATTAAAGAATAATTTTCAGTGAGAACATTGTGAGAAAAAAAAGATTGATTATAACCATTTCGAGTAACACAATTGTAACCAGATATGAGAGTAGTACAATCCCTATATTAACACGACAGGGAAATTTGCTTGTCAATAACTTACT